GCGCGGACAGGTGCGCAGAAGTTGCAGAAGGCCTGGGCGCGGGGGGGCGAGGCGATGTCCGCGGGAGTCCCGCGGCGGCCAGGAGGCCTCTCCCACACCTCGCCCCTAGCTCTGCCGGGCCGCGGGTTTCTCTGCTGAGCTGTGACGAGCAGTTGAACCAAACGCTGTTCGTTGTTTTTTTTATTTTTTTCTTTTTTTTGTCAGTCAGCCAAGTGTGGAGGCTATTAATATATAACTAACCACAGATTAAAATGAAAATTTAGCACTGCCACTGCCTTGCCCGAGATAACAAATCTCACGTTCTGGTGATTGACATGCTATGGCCCCCTCTCACTCAGCACCAGGAGCAAGCTGCTCCCCCATCACCTATCCGCTCCGGAGGACACGGAGCAGCGTGTGCCCTTGCTGTTTCCCACATATGGGTAATGCTCATCCAACTGCCTGCTTCTCCAGAGATAACCATCTGTAGATGTATGCCAAAGAGCACTATGCTGTGTTTTCCTGCTCTGTGCAGCTGCCAGCTTTCACAGAAGCTGTACGAACTTTGTATTTGTGAACATGGTCTCTGAGATTTAGCAGAAATTTGAGTTCAAAAGTTTGGGGGTGACAGACGGAACAAAGGAAAATGAACAAACTAATATATAATTGCAGATATCTATTTTCTAAAAAAAATCTGCTATGCCCACTAGAGAAAGTGCAGACAACGTCCTAACGTAGGTGTTTTATTGTACATTTGCTTGCTGCTAGATGTTAATTATCCTGTTTATTATAGTTTTAATCGGGTCTAGTGATATAAGCTTCTGTATTAGCATAAAGAAAGGGTACTTTGCAACACTTAACATTGCTCAAATACAAAAGTGTATCAATAAGTGGCTACTTATTCAGTGCTACCTAGCATGTTTCATGTTGTAAATAAACAACAGAAATAAATAAAACCAAGACAATACAGAAATCAGAATTCATTATCCTCAGCCCAGCTATTTGTTCTATTTCTTAAGCTGGATAATTCTTTGCTTCTCCTAATTCCACGGATTTCCCTTCTTCTCATGCATACATAATCACGTTTCAAGACTCGTTCCCGCAGAGGTGATTTTAAGAACTTAAGTATGTTTTCCTAAGATGAGGACCCAAGAGTAGCCCCAAGAAGGCCATTAAGTAGTCTTTAGCAACAATCCAAATAAATAAAAGATGTCCTGTGACGAGCAGTTTGGTTAGCAGCAGTGCTTCCTTAACTCTCTTTTCATCTGGATCTACACAACTTTGTATGATGAGCTGAAAAGCAACACAACTTAAAAAAAAACCTAATACAAAGGTTACTTAAATTTTGCAGTCCCTAGTTCACAATATGACCCAGTAAAGAACTGTATAGTCGTTAACTTAGGAGATGACACGGAGTTGGGAACAGGTAAGCGGTTTGGTAGTTGTTTAAGTCAGCACTGCTGCTGAAATCAATGCTTCTCACACATGACTTGTTCCAGCGGCAGAAACAGAAATAAACGCAGGAAACTTGGACTCTCGTGCTGGAAACGCTTAAAACACATTGGAGTCCCTGGGATTAACAGAAGTAGTACAGTTAAGATTGCACATAAACATTAGCAGGTTTAGACCTTGCTTCGGCCTTTCTCCCGCTCTTCTCAGCATTTAGGCTGCCAGATTTTAAATAAAGAAGTACAAGGCGTCCCCCCGCCCCATGTCCCGTTTGCCATTTCGCACCCTCCTTCGGCAGATCCCGCAGCGATCGGTGTCTCCCTCGAGAGGGTGGCACCTCCTGCCGCCGTCCGCGTCCCCCCCTCGCCCCCTTCGGGCCCTGGGGACGCCGGTGCCACCCAGCCAGCCCTTACGAGCTGCCGGGGCAGGCCGTGAGCCCCGCGGCAGGCGGAGGGGGGCGCACAACGAACCTTTC